AAAATTCAGGCTTCAGCCCATTTTCAGATCTGGAAGAGATAGCTGGGTCCCTAGAAGGAAGGGCAATGAAGTAGGTGATGATTTCCCTAGCACTTCTCCCAAAGGGACCTATAGCCATTCACTTCGCTATATATACACTGGAGAAAGAACAGCCAGACATTTGAGGCATACTGGACTCAAAATCAAAGTTGACATTGATACCAGAGACCCAAAGTATCATCACAGTCCTTGTTAGACTAGGGGCTTTGAGGGCTGAGTAATAACTGAAGTGCTGGCTAAAATAGGACTCACAGTGGCCCTGCAGGCCTAACCAGTGCTATCTCCCAGTCCTTAAGTGTATAACTGGAATTGAGCTGATGGTTGATAGTAACTACTAAGTGGGCTCTTTTTAAATATATATATAATGGATTGTTTACAGAGAGAAAGGAAGAAGGTTAGAAACATCAACGGGGAAGAAACATCAATCAGCTGCACCCTGTACACCTCCCAAAGGGGATGTGCCCACAACCAAGGTGCATGCCCTTGATTGGAATCAATCCCAGGACCTTTCAGTCCACAGGCCGACACTCTATCCACTGAGCCAAACCAGTTAGGGCACCAAGTGGGTTCTTGGCTTACAGCAGGGGTGGGAAAAATCTAGCCTCTGGGCCATATAAGGCCCATGAAATAATTTGGTCTGGCCCTGCCAAGGCATTAGTGGTGAGTTAATTAAATGTTTGACCAAATATAGCAGGATAATTTTTAGCTTGATAATTTTGCATGGACTTCAAATGACATTAAGTATCGAAATGGCCCTTGGCAGAAATAAAGTTTCCTCACCCTTAACCTATAGGTTAAGAGCTGTCACAATGAGGAAAGCCAAGTGGAAACCTCTAACATTGCCCCCCTATCACCATCAATGAGAGTAAATTGTGATGGTTACTTTCTGGTGTCAAGTTGGGTTAGGCCAGTGGTTGGCAAACCTAGGTTCGAGAGCTACATGTGGCTCTTTGGCCCTGAGTGTGGCTGGGCATTAGAACCACTTCTTCAAAATAGACTCACCCAGGCCGAAAACTGGCTTCTGCACATGGGCCACAAAGTTTCAATCGCATGTTTGCACGTGTTCGCCCACATGTGGTATTTTGTGGAAGAGCCACACTCAAGGGGCCAAAGAGCCGCATGTAGCTCGCGAGCTTAGGTTTGCCGACCACTGTCTTAGGCTATAGCATCCAATTAGTCAAACACTAACTCAGGTGTTGCTGTAAAGGTATTTTGTAGATTAATATCTACAATCAGTTGATTTTATTTATTTATTTTTAGAAACTATTTTCCATCAACCTTATTTCTGTTCTGTTAAGAATTTATGGAAGAACAGCTTAGGACCACTCAGTGGTTGTTTTTACCCATTCAGTGGGGGTTGCAGACCACTCTTCAGTGGCAGGCTGAGTACTTGTCTTCAGTAGGAAACTGCTGAATGGGCACAGAGGGCACCTGCACGCCTTCAGACCAGTCTGCGACCTCAGGCTGCGCAGCAGTAAACTCAGGAGCAGGAGCGGTCCATTCACCCTGAGATTCCTCCTTGGTCACAGACTTTTCAGCAGTGGCCTGCTCTTCCTTCTCAATCTCTTCAGGATCTCTGTAGAAGTACAGATCAGGCATGACTTCCCACGGGTGTTCCCGGGAGATGGTGCCACGTATGCGCAGTACTTCCTGGGCCAGCATCCACCACATCAGACCCACTGAGTGAGCCCCCTTGTTGTTGCAAGGGATGGCAATGTCTACGTAGCGCAGAGGAGAGTCTATGTTACACAGAGCGGTGGTGGGCAGGTTAACATAAGACACCTCTGTGAGAGGCTGGTGGGCAGCCCTGGGGTCAGTCACCACCAGAAGTCTTGGTTCCCAGAAGGCTGCCTGGGTCTGGTTGGTGAAGATTCCAGGAGTGAAGCGGTCGGCAAAAGGAGTGGTTCCAGTGGCAGCAGCAGACTTTAGCACAGCTCGCTGGCCAGTATTCCTGGATGCTATGACACTGACGTCAGCTGGGTTTTCAATGGCAACAATGGCCCAAGCTGCCAGCAGAAGCTTCTCCCAGGTTCTCTTCAGATTGATGATGTAGATGCCATCGCTTTTCCTTTTGTAGATGTACTGCTCCATTTGGAAGTCAAGGTTGGTGCCACCAAAGTGGGTTCCTGCTACAAGGAATTTGAGGACATCCTTCTCCTTCATTTGCAGGACATCAAGCGCTCTGGACATTGTGAAGTTTCCCTTTAAGTTATGTGGGAACCAAGAACAAAGCTGTATGGAGCCCTCCCTGGGTAGCTCGGAAAGCTACAATCAGTTGATTTTAAGTAAAGATTAGCCTGGATAATTTGGGTGGGCCTCATCCAATTAGTCAAAGGCCTTAAGAGCACAATTAAGATTTCCTTGCAGAAATTCTGTTTATAGATTGCAGTGTCAGCTCCTGCCCGTTTCCAGCCTGCCAGCCAGTCAGCCTGCCTTATAAATACCAGATTTGCCTCACTATTCCTCACAATTGCATAAGATCTATTCTTTGCTATATATAAGTAATATCCCAGGGGATATGGAGCAGATCAGTGCCACTATTAAAAACTTATTTGAGAGTTCCTATATGACCAGATTAAGGAGAGATCAGCTTCAGCTCAGTTTACAGATGGGTCAGTTCAGTTTGTGAGTGAAAAATGAACAAGGACAGCATCTGCATTATAGCCACATTCAGGGGTGAAGAAATATTGAACAGAAACACAAGCAGTGCATTTGACTTGGTTTGGAAGTGGTCTATGTGAGACGATTGCATATATAGATTCCTGGGCAGTATTGAATGGTCTGGCAGTCTAGTCTGGAAGGAAAAAGGCTGGAAGATTAGAGACAAGGAGGTCTGCTGAGAGCCGGCGGCATCGCCTGCGGATGGCTGGCTAAACGCGTGCAGGGTGGGCAGAAAACAAGGCGGCGACTATGCTGCCTTCTCCGTGAGGAGCGCCCGGAGAGGCCCCAGAAAGCGCAGAGCTGCGAGCTGGGGTCGATGGCCTCGGTTGCCCACCGGGCCATGGTGGCTGCAGGGCGGTGGTTGGCACGGCAGCGCTGCGGCCCGGAGACGTGCAGGGCCTGGACTGTCGAGGCGCCGATGCCCCTGGGGCCCAGCAGCAGCGATGAAGAGGAGCCGCTTTGGCAACCGACCACAGCGGCTGCCCTCGAGGAGGATGGGGAGGGGAGGATGGGGCTCAGCGGGCGGCTGAGCTGCCCCAGCTCCTGCCCCCAGGCCAGCGAGCACCGCCCGGGAGGCAGCGACTAGAGGAGCTGACCAGGCCCAATGGACCTGAGGTCAAGGAGCAGAGAGGAAGGGAGAAGGATAAAGAGTCAGAAGGATCCATGAGAGAGAAACTAGATCAGCTGCCTCCTGCACCCCCCCTACTGAGGATGTGCCCTCAACCAAGGTACATGCCCTTGACCGGAATCGAACTTGGGACCCTTGAGTCCGCAGACTGACGCTCTACCCACTGAGCCAAACCGGTCAGGGTTGAAAAAAAATGTTTTCATTGATTTTTTAGAGAGTGAGGAAGGGAGAGGAATAGAGAGATAGAAACATCAGTGATGAGAGAGAATCATTGATTGGCTGCCTCCTGCACATGTCTTTTTGGGGATAGAGCCTGCAACCTGAGCATGTGCCTTGAATAGACTGTGAACCCTAGGTTCATAGGTTGACACTCAACTACTGAGCCATGCTAGCTTGGCTCTTGAATAGTTTTTAAAGTAACATGCTTAGTCATTGTCTTTCCCTCTTTTTAGTCACCTGTTAGTGTCACATATGTTGTTTATTGTAATTCTTCCACATCCTATATAATAAAAGTGTAATATGCTAAAAAAAAAAAAAAAAAAAAAAAAAAAGGTCTGCTGTAAAGACTGTGGAATTAACATGTGAGAGCAAAGTGTGAAGATTCCTGCATCACATGATAACACCTACAAGAGAGCATCCACTGGAAGAAGCTCTATGCCACCAAGCAGGCAAAATGATTCAGGCAGGTGAATTGGCCTTCATTAATTGCTACCAAACAATTGGCACGATGGACACACAAGCAAAGTGGTCACATGGCTGATGGAGGTCCTGCTTAACAAGGCTTATCTAGCAGAATTCCTCTGACAAGTAATTTTGGCTCAAGGACACACCACTGGTCTTGCTAAAATGTTCTTAGGACTTTTCATACCCAACCTTCTTTCTTTCCTTCCCTCTTCTCCAGAGGTCAGACCTACATCAGTCAGCTTTCCCTGACTCCTCCAGCTCCCTCCTCATTTTCCCTCTTGGGCATTCCCCCCTGTACCCCCCACCAAAAAAAAACAAAACAAAACAAAAAAAAAACCTCTTGCGCATCTAATCTAGTAGCCAACTGACATACCAAGGACCCTAAATTCGTTCATTCACTATCAAAGCTCTAGTCTTGTTTTGTAAGGTAGAAAATCTATTTAATAATTCAGCAGGGGTGCTAAAATCCTGTGAACTGGTTCCTACCAATTTATAAATGACTGATTGCTAAAACAGAAAGACAACACTCTCAAAATGGGAAAGAACTGCCAAGTTGACCATATAGATATGCAATGAGTGGACAGTGTTCTCACCTTAGCAAGAGCAGCTCCTTGAAAAGCAGACTAAACCTCAAAGTAGCATTGATATGTCTGGAACATGGAAAGGGAGAAGTACCATATGATTTCACTTATACGTGGAATCTAATGAACAAAATAAACAAAGTGGAGACAGACTCATAGATATAGAAAAGACTGACAGCTGTCAGTGGGAAAGAGATTGGGAGCTGGGTGAAAAGGGTGAAGGGACTAAGCAAAGACAAAAAAGAAAGACTCGTGGCCACAGTCAACAGTATGCTGATTGCCAGAGGGAAGTTGGGATCAGGGGAGGTAGAAAATAAAGGGGGATAAATGGTGATGGAAGTAGACTTGACTTGGGGTGGTAAACACACCATGCAATATACCAATAATATACTGTAGAATTGTATACCTAAAACCTGTTTAATTTTATTAATTAATGTCACCCCAATAAATTCAATAGTTTTTAAAAAGAATGGACCTGGCTAACCAACCCAATGTCCACCTACTGAGGAAAGGATAAACACAATGGGATCCTATTAAGTCATAAAAAGGAATTAAGTACTTCTCTGCTATATCATGGAAGAACCTTGAAAACATACTAAGTGAATTATAACCAGACACAAAAGGCCACATGTTGTATGATTCAATTGATATGAAATGTCCAGAATAGGTAAAGTCATAGAAATGGAAAGCACACTGGTGGTTGCCAGGGACAAGGAGGAGGAAATGGGGAATAACTGCTTAATGGGTACTGGGTTTCATGGTAGGGTACTGAAAATGTATTGGGACTAGATAATACTGTGAATGTGCCACATTGTTCTCTTTAAAATGATTACTTTTTAAAAAATGGTTACTTTTATTGAGGTTACATGAATTTCACCTCAATAAAAATAAATTGCAAAAAAAAGTGTGGAGACATTTATCAATCAAAAAGATGTTTAAATTTTTTAAATCAGGAAGGAGTGTGGCAGAAGCAAGCTGATGTTATGAATCGTTATCACATTCACATCAAGCTGTCCAAACCTAGTTAAGCCATACTTCTCTACTCTATGGGTCTACCTGCCAACTGGAAAGGTCACTGCAAGAGATCTAAATTTCTATCACAAAGACTAGAATTCTAGAATTCCCTGGTATTTCCACTTTCCTGGACATTTTTTTCCTGGACATTTCATTAATTGGAGTCATAAAGTCAAGGGCCATGCTTATAAACCCAATTTTAGGATACATACTCTGATAAACACCAAGCATATTCTCAGGGACAATGAATTTTGCTCAAAACTCTAGCACAGCCCGGCCAATATGGCTCAGTAGTTGAGTATCGACCTGTAAACCAAGAGATCACAGTTCAATTCCTGGTCAAGGCACATACCCTGGTTGCAGGCTTAATCCCTAATGTGGGGCGTGCAGGAGGCAGCCAATCAATAATTCTCTCTCATCATTGATGTTTTTGTCTATTTCCCCCCTTCCTCTCTGAAATCAATAAAAATGTATTTTTAAAAGTGTTTTAAATCAAACAAACTCCAGGACATGTGGCTGTTGAAACTACTGCACCATCAATAACTCTAATACTTTAGGGATTAAAGAACACAACCTCAGAGATTTTACATACAGAAACAATAAAGCATAATTGAATTTGACTATATTTTTAATTCCACTGAGTAGCTTCTTCAGCTTCAGTAATTCCTGCGGTCACTGGGATTTGAGGGGTCAAGGTCTCGGAGAATGCCGGGCCTTTTTAGGCCTATGGGATTTATCTCGGCTCCTACTTCTACTTCTACTTCTACGGCCATGTCCCTCAGCATGCCCCTCATGTGTGTCTGAGCTTCGACCTCTGTCCCTGTTTTTTTCTTCTCTTTCTTCCCTCCTGCTTGAGAACTTGTGCTCGTGCTTGGACTTCTCCCTCTTCAGCTCCCGCTCATGGTCCTCTGCTCTCCCGTGGCAGGTTGTCTTGACCTCAGGAGAACTGGGGCGGTGCTTCCGCACCTCCCTAGACTCTGGCTTCTGACCCCTCTCTGAGTTCTTGCTGCTGTGCTTTTTAGAACCAGGGTCATCCTTTTCCTTTATCATCTTGCTTCTAGGAGCTGAAGAGGAGGCTGGCTGCTCTGCCAGTTCCTCCTGATCAGTCTTGTCTTTGTCTTTCTTTCTTTTCTTTTTTTCCTTTTTGTCTAGAGGGAAAAAAAGAGGTACAATCAATAAGAAAAGGGAAATTGCCTGGCCAATATGGCTCAGTGATCTATGAACCAGGAGGTCACAGTTTGATTCCAGGTCAGGGCACATGCCCAGGTTGCAGGCTTGACCCCCAGTAGGGGGCATGCGTGCAGGAGGCAGCTGATCAATGGTTCTCTTTCATCATTTATGTTTCTATCTTACTCTCCCTTCCTCTCTGAAATCAATAAAAATATTTTTTAATAAAAAAAAAAAGGAATTGGAGGAGATGAGAGATATGCAAAAGAAAAGCATCCTTGGCAGTAGCATCAAGGAATCAGTCTATCCTTCCAGAAAAGTGCCTCTGGGAAGCCAAGTTGGATCTGTCACCCTTGATATGTCAAGTCACTGTATAAGGCAATTCCCACCCTTAATTACCTCCTTAAAAATCCAAATACAGTCATTTTCTGAGGTACTAGCAGTTAGGACTTCAACACGCATTTTCAAGGTACACAGTGCAACCCATAACACTAGCCTTCTGATGATACCATCTCTCCTTTCCCAATTAAAATAAGGTTCCCCACACTTCCTCCACCCCTCCACATATAAGAATTGATTATCAAGTCGCAGTGAATGCTAGTCAGATCAAACACTAACACTACCCAGAATCTTCTCTTAGGTCTTAACGCTTTACCTTTTTTGTGCTTTTTGGTGGGTTTGTCCTCTTCAGAGCCTTCAGATGAATTTGATGAGGGGGTGTGAGCCCCACAGCCCTTCTCCTGGAGCTCTTTGGTCACACTATCCATTTCTTCTGATTCCTTAGGAGTCCGATAGTTAGACACATGATCCACTCGGATAGTTCTTCCTTTAATCTAAGATAGACAGGCAATGCATCAGCAAAGACATCACTCCTACCAAACTATTGGAACCCAGCTGCAGAGAACCATGGTTGGAACTAAACCCACTACCTTCCTGCTAATTCTATTTCTGGAAAAATCTCTAAACAGACCTGCCCAACTGGTGTCATGCACATATACCTAGATATTAATTCCCTCAGCTCTCAGGACAGCCAGTGGGGCCCGGGGCAGCTGGAGCCCATGGGGCAATTGTATTAGGTAGCCTCCTCAGCTTACCCCAGGGGGCCATACAAATATCTTAATGTTTTACATGTGCTGTGAAGTGAAAAAGGCTGGGAAGCTCTGCCAACAAAGCAGCAGAGAAAAATGCATAACTTATATGCACAAACAGTGAATTACCTTCAATCTGTAACAATAATTTATAGTGTAATATACCATGGCAGCTAGAAGAAATTCCTGTAATCGAGCCCAGGGCTACAGCTGCTTCCTTGACACAGCAATTAGAATGAGGCTAAGGCAGACCAACAGTTGGGAGGGGAAGAGAAATCTAGTAAGACCACTGTGTTGTTTTACTTTGTTGTTGTTTTCTAGCTCTATTCAACCACTTGGTTATTTCATCCAGTCCTGAAAAGACCACGGTCGTTTTTCTTAAGCTCTCACACTTTGTCCCACCCCACCCTACCAGAACAACTGGCTCACATTAATACTTTCACTTAAATCACTCTCCCGGTGAGCAACAAAAACATTAACCCCTCGCTTAAAACAAAAACATTCAGGCAGATACCCACTTATTCTATAGGCAAAACCATCTGAAATTTGAAAAATGTCTGGCTTTTATAATTCTAATACAAAAGCAGATTTTTATTCTTATCTTTGGCCTAATCAGCTTCTGTCATCTATCCTGTTCCCCATTTCAAAACATCTTTGAAAACCTTCCTTTCATAGTGACTCCCTTGGACTGCTGGCTCTCTTAAAAATCAAGTGTGGAGCCGAAACCGGTCTGTCCCAATGGATAGAGCATCAGCCTGTGGACTGAAAGGTCCAAGGTTCAATTCTGGTCAAGGGGGCATGTACCTTGGTTGCAGGCACATCCCCAGTAGAGAGTGTGCAACAGGCAGCTGATTGATGATTCTCTCTCATCGATGTTTCTAACTCTCTATCCCTCTCTCTCTTCCTCTCTGTAAAAAATCAATAAAATATATATTTTTTTTAAAAATCAAGCATGGAACCTTGTTCCACCCTGTCCTATAGTCGCCAACTGTTCAATTCTGGTGCAATCAGGGAAAACTCTCCAAGTCAAGTGTCAACTCCCAGCCTGCGACAATGCTCATTCAACTGCAATGCTTTTCCTAAATAAGCATAGGGACCATGTGAAGCATAGGTATGCCTGACCTCAGCCCTATGTCTCACTTATAGGGGTTGGTATTAGGGGAAACGAGGACAGAAAACTTCAGAATGATTTCTGTAGAATTTGTCATTAGATTTTACCTAGAGAATATCCAGGGCCCAGTATTGATTGCTAAGTCAGTAGAGGCATATGACAGCTATGTCCTAGGTCATGCAGCCAAGATAGAGCACCAAATCTCCTAACACAGGACAGCACGGAAGAGCAGTGTTTGCTAATCTCTTTGTTTTCCAACACACCTGAGATAAGAGTGGAGTGTGAGGAGGAAAAGGTGAAAAATAGAGGCTTGTGGGGGGGGGGGAGGGGCATGGTATCTATGCTCCTAGAGAGATAAGTTGGTATGAGATGGGAAAAGGGAATAGGATAGAAGGATCATGAGCCAATGGAATTATTTCCTGGGATCATTTGTTGGTCAGTATGTCCCCATACCTCTACAACCCTCACAAAATACTCAGCTGACCAGACTGTCCTTGAGCCTGTGGAGATCAGGTGGGTAATGAAATCAAACCCCTACATGGTAAAAGTCCAGGCAAATCCTGCTTAGTAAGCACACTCACTTTTATCCCGTTAAAATTGTCAACAGCCAGAATTGTGCTCCTCTGGTCTTCATAACAGAGGAAACAGAATCCTTTGGATTTCCCAGTCTTCTTGTCCCGCACCAGATTAATGTTAACGATCTCCCCATATCTATTTATTTTATAAAAGAGTAAAACATTATTGATTTAAAATGCAAACATTTTCAGATTGGATGACAAAATAAAATTCAAATAATATAATCTATACAGGAAATATATCTAGAACAAGATAACATAGGCAGGTTAAAAATTAAGTTAGACAAGGATATAACAAGAACACCCAACTAAAAAGTGGGTGGTAATATTAAGATTGAAGATGAATTTAAGGCCCCCAAAAAGGTCCTAATACATAATAAAAGTACAAATCATGACATTTTATGCACAAATTGACAAATCAAAACATTTTAATTATGAAACTTAGAAATACAAAGAGAAACATAATTAAAGTTATGAGAGATTTTAACATACCACTTTAAATTTATAACACAAAGTTAACAAAAAAAGGTCAGGAGAGTTAATGTAACTGATATATAGTTATTTAACATAAATATAAGGAAACAAGCAATTAATAATGTAACAGTTAAATTGCTAACAAATATTAATTAATATCAGACTAGTAGATATAGAGATATATTCAAATCTTATATAAAGATGACAATTTCTTCTTCAAGAATCCTTGAAACATGTATTAAAATTGACTATAGCAGCCCTCCTTGTTTGGCTCAGTGGATAGAGCGCTGGCCTGCAAACTGAAGGGTCCTGGTTTCAATTCCAATCAAGAGCACATGCCCGGGTTGTGGAATTGATCCCCAGTGTGGGCCCGTGCAGGAGGCAGCTGATCAATAATTCTCTCTCATCATTGATGTTTCTATATCCCTCTCTCCCTTCCTCTCTGAAATCAGAAAAAAAATATTCTAAAAAATTGACTATAGCATAGGTCTCAAAGTAAACTTAGAACTTGCAACCTACTCTCCTAGCTAATGAATGAAAGAGGAAATGAAACAAAGTAAAGAAAAAGTCAATGACAGACTATTTAGAAAATTACAAAAATGAGAATAATATATACTAAAACTTACGGGATGTAGCTAAAACCAAGAAAGCAAATCTAAGAAAAGCAGATGAGAGTTAATAAAATCTACCTTACTCCTTATCCAAAGGTAAATTCCAGATAAGTTAAAGCATCATAAATTTAAAAAACAGTAATAAAATTAAAATGGGAATTAATGGATACATTATATAACATGATCAAGTACATACACCTGGGCCCGGAATCTAGCATCTTACTTGACAGAAATTACCAGAGCCCTGGCCAGTATGACTCAGTTGGTTGAGCATTGTCCCTGCACCAGAAGGTCACTGGTTTGATTCCCGGTCAGGGTACATGTTGAGGTTGTGGGCTCAAACTCCAATAGGAAGCATGCAGAAGGCAGCTGGTTGATGTTTCCCTTTCACATTTTCCTCTCTCCCTCTCCCTTCCTCTCTCTCTAAAATCAATAAAAACCTCTTTTAAAAAAATTAAACTAGAATTTAAAAAAGAAATTAAAAGAGATGACCTAACTAAGATCAGGAATTATTTAACACTATTTAACATTGTAGATATTGGCCAAGAAATTAGCAGAAAACATTTAAGAAATGAAAAAAGAAGTAAAACTGTCTCTGTTTTAAGATTATATATATTCATTAACTAGTGGCCCGATGCATGAAGATTCATGCAAGCAATGCCCTTCTTTCCCCTGGCTGCTGGCACCACCTTTGCTCCAGCCCAGAGCCGCATTTCCACCTTCCCATGCTGCCCAGAGGCCCAGAGCTGCTGGGGCTGTCGGTGCCTGCATATACAAATTAGCCTTCCATCTTTGTTGGGTTAATTTGCATACTCACTCCTGATTGGCTGGCAGGCATCACAAAGGTATGGTCAATCTGCATCTTTCTCTTTTAATAGTGTAGATATATACAGAAAACCCAACAGAAGCAATGATAAACAATGATAAAAACAAACAGCATAACAATTCAGAAAGGTGACAGGATATTAACAAAAATAAATTATTCTTTTACATACAAGCAACAGAAGATATATATTCAATGTATAAAGCCTTTATAAAGAAAACTTTTTAAAACTTCTGAAAAATACAAATATAGATTTATACAAATATAAAACCATCCCTCGTTCTTTGATAGAATGAATCAACATCATAAAGATTATCAAAATCTTCCACAAAGTTAATACTGAAATCTAATGTAATCCCAATTTAAAATACAAGTTGTGTGTTATTTCCTCTGGAGCTAGATAAGTTGATTCTAAAGTCTTTGTGGAAAAATGAACATAATATCTGGGAAAACTTTAAAAAAGAACAAAAGGTAGAAGTAACTCTCCCAGATATTAAATACACTAAAAAGCTTTTATGATGGCACATAAAGAAACAGGCAGACCAATAGAACAGAATAGAAAACCAAGAAAGAGATTCATGTGTATATGGAAAAATCCCATATAATAAAAGGCTAATGTGCAAATTGACCGAATGTTGGAATGACTGGTCTCTATGATGCGCAATGACCACCAGGGGGCAGACACTCAACACAGGAGCTTCCCCTTGGTGGTCAGTGTGCTCCCACAGGGGGAAGCGCCGCTCAGCCAGAAGCCGGGCTCTGGGCTGGCGAGTGCAGCAGTGGTGGCAGGAGCCTCTCCTGACTCCATGGCAGTGCTAAGGATATCCCACTGCTGGCTTAGGTCTACTCCCTATCAGTTGCACATACCCCAAGGGCTCTCAGACTGCGAGAGGGTGCAGGTTGGGCTGAGGGACCCCCCTCCCCCGAGTGCTTGAATTTCGTGCACCAGGCCTCTAGTCATATATAAGGGCAACATCCCACTTTGCTGATGAACAAATGGGCATTTTTATTAATGTTGTTGGGACAACTAGATAGCCACTTGAAAAAAAACATGAAATTGGATCCTTATCTCACACTATACACCAGATTATAGATGGATCAAAGATTTCAATGCATAAAATTGAAACTGCAGAAGTACTAGACGAGAACACAGATGGCTGGGTAGGGAGAAATACTTTCTAATTATGACTCATAATCCAGAAGCAATAGAAAAAAAGACTGATTAATTTGGCCACATAGAGTACTAGATGGGGAGACTATAAAGTGACAGTATGAGGGAGTTTTTGGAACTGTTCTTCATCCTAATTGTGGCGGTGATTACACAAATCTATAAATGTATTAAAATTCTTACTAAAAAGTCAATTTTATCATAAGATAATTTAAACATTATTACAAATGAATGCACAAAAATAATAATCCTGCATAGCATAAAAATCACAATATGTCAAAAGACAAATGACAAACTAGGAGAAAATATTATTTGCAATTTACATTACAGATAAGGACCAGAAAGATATTTTTTCCCTTTTGCTATAAAGAACATTATCAGGATAACTGGTGAAGCTGAATAAAATCTTTAGATAATAATATTGTATTGGTATTGATTTCCTGAATTTGATCACTATACTGAGATTAAAGAAGAGAATATCCTTGGGTTCTGGGAAATACACATTGAAGAATTTTGGAATAAATGGGAATCATGTCTGCAACTGACTCTCAAATGGTTCAAAATATATATATATATATATGGAGGAAAATAACAATAAAGCAAATATGGTAAAATGCTAATATCTGGGAGCTCTGAATAAAAGGGATAAAAGTATTCTGTATACTATTTTATAACTTTTAAGTTTTAAGCCTGAAATTCTTTCAAAAGAAAAAAAGAACATAGAAGCTAGCTTGAAGGGACTCCTAACAGACCACATTGGAATAATTTGAACATCAGGAAATAATAATGATGGCAATGTAGTATAATACATCAAACTTTAATAAAATAAGTCCATAGTAATACAATGCATGACAAAGTGTATAATAAAGAGTTAATATCCTTAATACATGAAGGGCTCTTATAAAATCAGTAAGAAAATGAGAAACAAACCAAAAGAAAAAAATAGGCAATGGATATGAACAACTGACAAAAAAACAAAACCAACAATGGCTTATAAATCTATGAAAAAATATACTCCTCACTGATGATGAAATAAAGGCAAAGTAAAATAATAATGAGAAGCCAAAGTAAAATAATAATGAGAAGCCAAATATTTTTAAGATAATGACTGCTGATTAGGAGTCAGAAAAATGGGCATTCTAGTGAGAGTGGAAATTGCTATAACTTTTTCAGAGAGCAATATCCAATGTTTATAAAACATCTTAAAAATAGCCGAAACCGGTTTGGCTCAGTGGTAGAGCGTCGGTCTGCAGACTGAAAGGTCCCAGGTTCGATTCCGGTCAAGGGCATGTACAATACATTGGTTGCAGGCACATTCCCAGTAGAGGGTGTGCAAGAGGCAGCTGGTTGATGTTTCTCTCTCATCGACGTTTTTAGCTCTCTATCTCTCTCCCTTCCTCTCTGTAAAAAATCAATAAAATACATATCTTTTTAAAAAATCTTAAAAATACTAACATATGGATCCCATAATTTCACCAAGGAAACCATCAGGAATACATACAAAGATATAGATACCACAATGAACATAGCAGTATAATTTATAGCAGCAAATACTGGAAATTATGCCCAGCAATTTAAAAAATGATAAAGTACACCCAATTAACAGTTTTCCTTAAAGTACATTCTATTATCTTCTTTATACCTTTTTTTTTTTACCAAATGTTCTATAATCACTATACATTACCTTGATAATCAGAAAACAAACTATTTTTTGAAAGCCACTGTTACCAGTGACAAAGGCAATCTTCATGAAGAGCAATGTGTGTAGCCACAGCAGAGAATTGGAATAAATCCACACACTAGCTGATCATCATTCAATGCAAATAAGACAAAAGCAGCTCCTAGATGGAAGGCTAGAGCAGGGAGAGGTACCATGAAGGGGTAGACATTACAGGCTGTACTTTCTGTGAACTTCCTGATGCTTAGCAGTTGGAAGAAGCAATCTCTATCCCAGCCATGGCCCTCTGCCTGTCAGGACTGCCCAGGCCCTCCACCGTGGCCCTTTCATATGTATTGCCCAATGTCTTTCCCATGGACTTCTCTGACTGCTGCCCAACCACTAAGCCAGTACCTTCTGCCTATGGGGTGGTCCCCAGCCATACCCTGCCATGGCAATGTCTCTGCCAGGGTGTGCTGGCTATGTTTGCTTGCTACATCCTGTTTGCCATGGTCCTCTACCTGTACATGCTATCCAACTTCCCTGCAATAGTTCTCTGCCCCTGATGGCCACATAATCCATGGGCCTTGGACCTCTGTTCCTGTGTGCTGTCAAGGCCCCCTGGCTCTAAGGACTATCTAGTCACTCTGTAGCTCTGGGGTTGTACCCAGCCCCTCTCCTAAATCTGCTGCCACTACCAGTGTGAGCTGCCAAGACGCTCTCCCATCCAGAGCTGCTGTGATCATCTCATGGAATGAAAAAGGTAAGGTTCCCCTATTCATTTGTGTTCCTCGTCAGCCTTTGATTCTCAGCTCTGGGTAAAGAGACATACTCTGCTCACCAACCTTACACTCATCTAGAAACAAAGAAAGCAAACTACTGCCTAAAACTTTTGTGGGTTTTTCCCCCCCACCAATTCTACTGTGCTTTGCCCTAATTCTACAAGGCCACACAAATGTGGGTCCAGAAGGGCCCTGTGATCATGAAATACCCCTAGTTTATAAGAGCCCAAGGATGTGGGCCAACATAGTATCTTCCTGGGAGTTGCAGTGTGTTCCATTGTAGGCCCACACTGAACAATCCTCAGTGAAAAAGCAGTAAAAATAGACCAGAATTCCCAAGACGGCCTCCTAAAACATCCAACTTCTTGGGATTTTCCACACTGGGAGAGTTCTAGAACTATGTCCTGTGATTGACCTAGACTAGAGGAGGAACTCCAGCCCTCACCATGCAGACCAGCCAGTCAACATAGAATGAAAACAAATGGCTCTTGTGATGCCACAAAAATACCTTATGAAAGCAAATTAGTCTGATAACCCAGAAGGCAGGACATGAAAAGAAACTTACTGTGAGAATACACAAATGATATCTCCTTCAGTAAGTTCATAGGGAAGTCCTCCTAGAAGAGATAACAACATTTCAGTTCAACTAACATTTTACCAAATGTCTATTAATACCATGCACTAGGCCAGGCACTGAGGGTACAAAAAAGAGTAAGCCACAAGGTCTGCCATCAGAGAACTCAGTTTAAATATGCAAATATTAACTCCACCTCACATAGACTAAGGATTAGTCAATTGCTAAGCATTTCATAGGAAATAAATTCCCCTGCAAAAGTTTCCTTCCTCATCTATAAAGTGGGGATATTAGTACTTAACTCACAGAATTGTTATAAGAATTAAATAAAACAATGAATATAAAGTGCTTAGCATCATGACTGGTGCAATCACCTCTTTGAACAAACTGTCAAATTACTGGATGTGACGCAAAGTGAATAGAGAGATGGTAATATGAACATGAACAGGCCAGAACTAATCAGATGAGGAAAATAAATTCTGAAGGAAGGGGATTAGGGTGGGAAGGAATTAGCAGTAATATGGGATAGTGGCTAAGACCATGAGTTCTAGAATCCCATAATTCTGGCTGTTCCACTTACTATGTGACCTTAAAAAGACCATTAACTTTTTAGTGCCTCAGTTTCCTCAGCTGATAATGATCTGAGACAGAAACACAAACACAAGATTTCACTTATATGTGGAATTTAAAAAAATGAAAAAACAAAACAGAAACAGTGTCATAGATACAGAGAAGAGATTAATGGCTGCCAGAGGAGAGGGAGGTTAATGGGGGATGGGTGAAAAAGTAAAGGGATTAAGAAGTACAAATTGATAGTTACAAAACTGTCATGGGAATGTGAAATACAGCATAGAAAATATAGCCAAATCCTAGCTGGTTTTGCTCAGTGGACAGAGCATCGGCCTGAGCACTGAAAGATCCTGGGTTCAACTCCAGTCAAGGGCACATGCCTGGGTTTCAAACTCCGTGCCCAGGATTCGGGCTGGATCCCCAGTAGAAGGTGTACAGGAAGCAGCCAATCAATAATTCTCATCTTTAATGTTTCTATCTCTCCCTCTCCCTTCTTCTCTGCAATCAATAAAAATATATTTTAAAAAAATAGAATATTGTCATAAGGAAGTATGTCCGATGGATCTCAGACTTAATGGGGTGATCCTTTTGTAAGTTATTATAAATGTCTAATTACCATGTGTACAACTAAAACTAATACAATATTCTATGGCAACTGTAATTGAAAAATAAATAAATAAAAACTATACAAATAATGGCAATGGTCAGAGAAACAAAGTGACAAGACTCTTAGTACAGTGAATGGCAGAAAGTGACTATCAGCAGTGAGTTGCAGGGAGAGCAAACTAGACAGGGGAGAAAATAAATATGGAAAACAGATTTATGGGCGGACAACAGAAAGAAATAAAACTGGGTGATGAATGTCGGGAGGTATGGAGGGAGGAAAAGCTGAAATGTCAGGAAGCAGGGCCGTAGAGACTGAGGGGCACGGCTGGAGAAAGATAGGAACCTCACCCAGGAAGATCCAGGCGCTATCTTTGTACTCGGAATGCCAGGACACCTTCTCCGCCACCCCAAGCTGGACCTCTCGCTCATTCAGCTCATTTATCAGCTTCACTTTCGTTAAAGGGCTGCCCAGGGGGTGGAAGAGTAGACAAGTTAAGTGCGGGGATGAAGGAGAGCAAAATTAGGGGACTAGTTTTCTGGAATTCCAGCCGCTCCCGCCCCTAGGCCGAGCAGACCACGCCAGCGCGGCAGGTCATCCCCGCAGTCCGCCCCCAACCGATCCCCATCTCCCCCCTTCTCAGAAAGAAGCTGACGCCTTACTTCATTTCCGCGGGTTTCGCGCTCAATACCAAGGAATCCACTACCGGGAGAGGCTGCAGGGCGCATGTGCGGCTCTGCCACCACCCGCCCCAGGACTAGGCGGGGTTCCGCTGCTCCAGGCTAGCTCCGCCTCACGGGGCTCAGCGCCTGCGCACTAGTGCAGGAAGTGACTTAATTCTTTGGATTGGGTTAACCCTTCAGAGAATTTTTTTCTAGTATCTACCCGTGTTTCCCCGAAAATAAGACATCCTCCGAAAATAAGACCTAGCGCAACTTTGGGAGAAAAAATTAATATAAGACACTGTCTTATTTTCGGGGAAACAGGGTAGTTTCCTCGGTCTATGAAGTAGCACAAGGGTGCGAGCCTGGTCTTTTACAAAACCCCCAGTTCCTGGACGGACGACCCCTGGCGGTGATTGGGTTAACTAAAAATGTTTGCTGAATGAAGACTTGAAAAGGTGCCAGCTATAGGGACAGAGGCCCCAGCCTTAGTTAGCTGCAGTGCAAATCCCCACACGGGCCAGGGGCCCGCGCGCGCGCACACGTGAGCGCCCACCCGCCCACACCTATCAAAGCATCCCTGTTCGGGGGGGTGGGGGGGTGTTAAGGCAGAAAAATAAAGCAGATATGTTAGAGGGTAAATCTCTTTTGTCCCTCAATTCCAATGCATAGATAACTGACAAATCGGCCTCTATAGGCTTACTTGAATACCCAGTTTTGTGTGAGAGCTGCTATACTCATTCTTTTCCTTAGTCTCTCTCCTACTTAAGCAGAAGGCAGAAGTTAATGTTAAATTAATACCTAACAGTTAAGCAGATAATGCTAGGTTGTGTGCTAAGTAATTTGCATGTATTGACCCCTCTATCCTCAAAATAACCCCATAAAGTCTGTAGTTACCATCCCCATTTTATAGAAGAAGTACTGAGGTTCGATGGAATTCATTAGCATGAAAGGTACTCTGCCTCTACCTATAGGTTCTGGTTGACTTAATCAGTTCTTACTGGGCATCTATATTTGTCCTGTACAGCAAATCTGTAGACAGGAGTGTAAGGTTGGGTTCTTTGCCCTCAAAGAGTTAATAATAGTCTACAAGAGATAAGATATATTTACTTTATAAATTTCATATTAGAAGTAATCAGGAACCCATAAAGAAAATGGTGGCATATAATGTGATTTAAGCCATATTGAAGATTTGAATCCATCTTGCATATTCCACATCAATATCTTTTCTCAAACCATGCATGGTCTAAAAGTGAAGGTCCAGAGCTGTGTAGTTCTGTGCAGACTTAGCTCTACGCCTTTCATAAAAGCACTTTGATAATTGCAGTGGTGATGACAAGTATACCCTCAATGGCTCACCATGTTAGCTCAATGTCCTGCCAAGAAGCAGAACAGAGGCTTCATTCATTCTCTGCCTCTCCCCCACTCTAAATCAGCTATTCATTAACTTTTTAGAATTACCTTGGCAATGAAAGCTAAACAGTGACAGATTGCTCATGGGTTTTATCTGCTCCTAGAAATCTTGGGTTGCTTAGTTGTACAGTTGAAGTAGCCCCTGCAGATGCAGCATTATCTGGTTGGATTCTTCAAACCAGCTGTGCTTTTGTCATCACAGTTCAAAAGGAAGCTGAAGCAAAAAGAGAAGAGTAAGACCAATTGAAAGGGAGGACAATTCAGGTATAGGAGAACATGACAAGACTGCTACTATCCAGCTGATGGGTTCAGCAGAGATTTTCTGAAGCGAGGAGAGCTAAAAACTGTCCCAGTTTGCCTGGGATGTCTCAATGGATGTGCTCGGGATTTTTAAGAATAGGTATGTAAAATGACACATAGAGATTTTCATAAGTGAATGGGAAGGAGGTGGGGTCCATAGGGCCCTCTAAACTTGTCATCCAAGGTGGCTATTAGTAATATCCACCAATAATATCCATGTAGCATCCACTGTATGCAGAGCTCAGTTCTAGATTCTGCAGACAATGCTAAGGAAACCAAAGGCAGTCCCCACATTCAAGGAAAAACTGAACAAAATGTCTAGCAAAATTAACTTCATAGTTCTTCTGTTCTGAGTTATTATCTCATGCCTCCTGACTCTTTCAGTACTCTTATAACTGCTCAGCCACTCTTCTCTAGTCTTTCCTCCCACTGGTCTCCAACATGAAGCCTCAACTTCAGCCAGACTCCACTTCTATTCATTTGCTCAAAGGCCCCTTTCATTATGCAAACTAGACACCTTTGGTGAGAGAACTCCATATCCCAGGGCCACTCTTCTCCAGCTGAATGAAAACTGCCCCAGTTCCCAAACTCACATCAAGGCATCTCTCATGCAGAAAACCTTTTCTGACCTTGCCAGCCCACAGTGATAGTTCCCACTTCTGAATTCTGCAGCACATCTCAATTCTTTTATGTTCTCTCCACAGAAAGACTGTACGATCCTTAAAGGTAAAGGCACTGCATTTTTAAGCCCTCAGCACCTCAGATCTCAAACATTTTCCTGCACACAAAGTAAGCACCCAGTACACTTATCTGTATATATAAAAGGCTAAGTGACCGACTATCCATCCATCCAACTGTCCAACCGACTGACTGGCCAGCCGATGCATGTGACAATTTAAAATAAACATTGGCAATTTAAAAATAAACATTGGCAATTTAAAAATAAACATTGACTCACACATGTGCAATACATATAAAGCTCTCTACTGGCGCCAATTGCACACATGTGTTTCAATCTCTCATTGTCGATCATGAATTTGGTTGTTTTTGTTAACATTCTGAAGTTGAAAGAAAGCGGCATTGTCAACAGAATATGTCTGAAGACCAGCTATTGGCAGAGCATGTGATGTTAAGGTTAAAATTGTAAATACTTCATCACAAGGGAAATTAGTCAAGCACTCTGAAAGTGTGTTTACTCTTAATGTGGCATACAGGGAGATATTAGAATAAGTTTAATCAATTTGTCATTTTTTAAAATATATTTTATTGATATTTCACAGAGAGGAAGAGAGAGGGATAGAGAGTTAGAAACATGGATGAAAGAGAATCATGGATCAGCTGCCTCTTGCACACCCCCTCCTGGGGATGTGCCCGCAACTAAGGTATATGCCCTTGACCGGAATCGAACCTGGGACCTTTCAGTCCGCAGACCGACGCTCTATCCACTAAGCCAAACAGGTTTCGGCTGTCATTTTTTATCAATGTTGTTTTTATATCATGTTTTTGTTGTTTTATATCATATTTTTATTGTTTTTATATCATGTCTTTGTTATTGTTATATTATATTATTTATTTATTAACCAATTTAGATATTATTAGAGGCCCAGTGCACAAAATTTGTGCATGGTAGGGTCCTTGTGGATGCCAGCTGCTGGCCAGGGGCTCTCTTTCCCCCAGCTGCCTGCCACTGCTGCATGCCGAGGCCTCCCTTTCTTTGCACCTGCGTTGGCCTGGCACCGCCAACTTATCTACTCCACCATCCTGCCATAGTCCTGCTCTCCTTGGGGCACATTGGGCCAGCAGTGCCTCCACTGTCACCACCTGTCAGCGCTGCATCCCTGATGCCTGCCATGTTCCACACCACCCCCTGGTGGTCAGCAAACATATAATTCCCAGTCAGTGGAACTCCTGCCTGTGTGGACAATTTGCATATTAACCTTTTATTATATAGGATTTTCATATATAAATTTTACTAATTTTATTTCATCTCTGATATTTCTATTATAAATAAAGGGCAAATAGCTATATTAAAATATTTCTTCTAATTAATTTCCTTTTAATGTGCATGAATCTGTGCACTGGGCCACTAGTTGGTTAATTAAATTGAAAATATATACAACTATGGTTACCTTTAGGAAACAGATGAGCATAGGGGGGAAAAGACTTTTATTTTCTATACTGTGAAAATTTTCTTACCTTTATCCAGATATTGCTTACATTTGTATTGCCATGTTATCTTGGAAGAGAAATCATGACCTTTATTATTAAGTATTTCTCTCTTGGACTGCGACCAGCACGGCTAGAGAATAGTCCATGAATCCTGAGTAGGGGTAGCTAGGGACTGAGAAAATGAAAGAAAGAGACAGACACAGAGACAGTAGAGAAGGTTGGGACCGGGTGAGACAACTGTCCTCTGATGGAGAGACAGTGACCCAGAGCCAGTGCAGCATGTTTATTATATACAGTATAATTCCAGGAAGTTTTGCTAGAGTTTAAAACAAAGGAAATTATGTGAAATAATGGTTAAAGATCAAGCTATGGTCATGATTAAAGATCAAGCTGTAATTTTTCATTCTTTGTAATCGTCACTCCTGGCTAAGTGTAGATAATTGCATCCATTCCTTTGACTGGCTGAACTTTGTTTTAAACACTAGTAAAACTTCCTGGAATTATACTGTATATAATAAACATGCTGCACTGGCTCGGGGTCACTGGCAGGCCAGTCAGCCCCAAATCAGAAAGGATGTAGTCCAATTCCTTGTGGGGCCACGCAATTTCACCTTTCAGCCAAAGGTTATGTTGTTGCTGGGACACTGTCGGCCCCAAATCTGGTTTACCACACACTTATGTTTGCATTCCACACTCTGTACGACAGCAACTTTGCAGCGTGCCCTCTTGCACTTTGGGATCACTCAGGGGATGTCAGAGAGCTGGTTTGGGCCCAATCCCTGCAGGCCAGGCCAAGAGATCTTACCTGCCAGAGGGACCCCACTCACTCCACTCACTCCTTCAAGCCACGGCACCACCCTAGGTGTGGTCAGCTAGGGAGGGGCCATGGGAGATTGGCTCCAGGGCATGTCCAGCCAGTGTCACCCAGTACTGGCCCTCCAGCCACCTTCTAATTAATTTCCTTTCAATGTGCATGAATCCATGCACCAGGTCACTAGTATAAATATATATTCAATGTTGATAAGTGCTATGAATGAAAAATAAAGCAGGGTAAGGGTACAGGCTGTGACAGAGTGTTTCTATTTTATAAAATGTGATCAATCAAAGAAGGCCTCCCTGATAAAGTGACATGAAGTCAGAGACCTGCAAGAAGATAGGGAGCAAGCCATGGGATATCTGAGAGAACAGTGTTCCAGGCAGAGGGAACAATAAGTGCAAAGGTCCTCAGACAGGAATGTGTTTGAGAAA